TGATCATCATAGTTGATTATTAAGAAATGCTGAAGAAATGCAATTAATGGACTTCACGAATTGCGACAATGAGAAGCTCCAAAGGCTTCCATTAAAGTTTAAAGTAGTAATAGTACATAGCTTTTGAATTTCCTAATTTCCACCATATAGAATACAGTCAGCTAGATTATGGTGTAGTATTAACAACGTGTGGTTAAAAAAAGTCCAATGACACATAAAACACTAAGCCAGAAAATTATTTTTGCAATTTATAGACATGAATAAATGGTATTTAGTTTTGACATGTAGTTTATCACCTGTACTTTCCAGATCTACGGAAGACATTTGAACAGGAACCCCTCGGAAAGGAAGTATCCCTGGAACAGGAAGTGTTACTCCAGTGTCGACCACCCGAAGGGATCCCAGTGGCCGAGGTGAATAACAAAACTTCTTTGCATGTCGCGTTTGGCACTTGGTATTCTAATAGAGGCCGAACCCACGGCTAATGGTGCGGTGAATTAGGGTTTGGCATGATGAATGGGCGGTAAGTGCCTGCTACTGGCAAAATAGATTGATTGGGAACTGATTAATGACTTGAGAGTCAATTAGAATGCCCCACTGGACAAAGCCACAGGCAGCTTGGTTTAATTTTGTCATTCTCTTTCAAGAAATCAAAAACACTGCTTTATTTTATCTGGCACTTAGCATAGAGAAGGTATGACTTAATAATGTGGCCTCAATTTTCTTATTCTTGATAATATGCCCAAAATGTGAATGTTAAGAAGAGTGAGTGTGTGTGTGTGTGTGTGTCTGTGTGTGTGTGTGTCTCTCTCTCTCTGTGAGCCTGTGCATTCCACATGTGTGTTTCCTCTTCCGTGACGTAATTGTGGGCATACCTAAAAGCCATATCCACGCACCATGAACAAAAACGTTTGAGGAATAAAGGGTGTCAATTAGTTTCATTGATAAGCTTTCCAGCAAATTCTTCATTTTCATTTTTTTGTTTTGGCTAAAACAAAGCCTATTCATTGCTCATGAAGTATTACGAATCGGATTCCCACCATGACTTTTCATTAGCACCAAACAATATAGTGCCCTTTGAAAATGCCTGTGTCTAGGGGACAGGCCTCCACGACCCCCCAGAGAGTGCATGCTCTCCTTGAGATGCTCACTGTCATCTTAGAGCACACTTGTGAGGAAAACTAATGCTGTGTCTTTCATTTGTTAACAAATAATCCCAAACTCTAAAAAATGCTGCCCTTTACATGATTATTAGAAGATATCCTTCTATGC